CTCCATAAAATGTGCTGCACACATCTGGATATTTGGGTTGAACTGTTCTGGAACGGTGTTGTAAATACAACTTAACCACTGATTTCTAGTCGTGTCCTCTTTTGGAAGACCAAACAAAGTAGTTTCACTTTCACAACGAAAAACACGGCGGCCTAGCGTAAGGGGAAGCCCCGGCTTAGCGTGAAAATTAGATAGATAGAGTGAGCAGAGGCGGCGGGGTCGAGAACGGCGCGCCCGGCGGGATCCGAGGAATGAGCGGCAACCACATGTGATGACCCCGGGCTGAACTCCGCTTCGTCCACGGTGAAAGTTGATGTATTCCCTCAGCAACCAGCACGGATCAGCTCTAGGCATGACGAAGCGGATATCCTCCTCTTTTGGAAGACCAAACAAAGTAGTTTCACTTTCACAACGAAACACACAGCGCCTTCACGACATGGCTGCAGCGTCAATACTACAGCGAGAATAAAAGTTACGCCTTCTTTCTTTGCGTGAACATTTGGGCAGCGTTATGCAAATCTTCCCACATAGTGACGTAGACATGTGGGGGCATGTTAGAACGAGCCATTTTAGGTAGGTGTGGCTGACTCTGAAATTTTATAAATAATATATCTTTGGATTTGAGACTTTAGTCTTTGCAACTTTACAGATCTTCTTTATGCACCAAGAGCTTGTAACACTCCAAAGAGAAAGGAAAACTTTAAATCGCAAAATCATATGACCCCTTTAATAAAATTATTAAAACATTATTTTTAAAGGAATATTTACCAGAAAAATTATGTACCAGAATGTATTTAGCAGAAAAATTTAAATACACAACACAGTACTTCTGGGGGAAAAAATACATAAATATAAAAATAATAAATTATTATTCTTTTTATATAATCAATTATTTAGAGATGCTTTTGATTATTAATATTTAATGAAACCATTCAAATGGAATTGCAAAAATTAATGGAAAACAGAGTTTGAATTTGAGAAAAAAATAAAACATTTCCTAGGGCCTTAAAATTTAATTTTTGTTAGGCTAATTGTTTAATAAATCACAGTTTAATATTGTAAGTTTCATGATTTCAATTAATTACATTTTAATATAATTTAATCAACAGACTCTAGAAAAAAAGAAAGAAAAAAAAACCTGAATCCAGAAAAATTTAAATGGAAAACTGAAAAAAAATTAAAAAAAATTTACGGAATATGGGGAAAAATAAAATGGATTTCATAGGGCCCTGAATTTCTCCAATTTGGAGAGTGTAAAACATGTTAAAATGGGCTTTTGTGTAAAATCAACACCTCTGGGATTTCTCAGGTCTGAAGGGCAAAGATCTTCTAAGGCCGTGAAAAACGATATTACATTAAATCGAAATCCACGAGGATGATGCAAGACGAGCGGCACTTTCCTCAGCCTCTCCTGTCTGCTACAGCTGTCATATAACACAACCCCCCGCGGGACAGCAAACACTCGGCAGTGTAACATCATCCCTCCCCTTCCTCCCTCTCCAGAGATCTCCTCCGGCATCAGCGGTTATCTCTGGGACAAAAGACCAGCACACCAATGAGCAACTGTGTCTGTGCGTGCGATTGAAACATACTGTATATTCATTATAAGATAAATAAATGTGTGTATATATGTTTCTTGAGCAGCAAGATTCAGAAAGATCATGTGACACTGAAGACTGGAGTAATGATGCTGAAAATTCAGCTTTACATCACATTTTACAATATATTCACATAGAAAACAGTTATTTAAAACTGTAATAATATTCCACAATTTTATTGTATATTTGATCAAATAAACGCAGGATAAAAATATCAATTTACTATATATATAAATGAATCCCTACTGAAAAATAAATATACTAAAATGTATTTCAAACACATTTATTTCATGCTAAGTATACTACAAATACATTTACATATTAATATACTTACTGTAATAAAATGCTCTGCAATTGTATATTTAGTGTACTAAACTGGTATACTTAAAGTCTGCTAAATTGGAACAACTAATTTTGTACTTAATGCACTTTGAAGTCCAACTAAAGATATACTGAAGTATATATGATTGTGCTAAAGTGGAACTATTGCAAGTATACTTTAGGTACACTTTAAATATCTTGCATTTAAAGACCGATATTATTCAAAGATCATACAATCCTCATCAACAGTGACATTGAAGGGGTCCTATTATGCTCTTTTACAAAGTCTTGATTTTGTTTTGGGGGTGTACTAGAACATGCTCTCATGCTTGGTGGTTCGAAAAACACATTATTTTTCACATAATTTACATTATTACAATACCTTTCTCCCCAGGCTGGCACAAACGGCTCAATTAGTTCCAGCTTTGATGAAGGTCTGCCTTCCGAAAAACAAAATGTGTTGTGATTGGTTAGCTGTCCCAGTGCGTTGTGATTGGCGAACAGCTTAGACGGTGTTTCAGTACTGCCACGCCCCCTTGCTCCATCTTTCAACAAAAGCTTTTGGCGAATCCGGCACTGTACTCCCTCATGTTGTGGAAGCTGTCCTCAGTAAAATGCGCAGCACACAATAGCAAATTGGGGTTATAATGCTCAGGAACAGAGTTAAAAAGTAAATTGCAACCACTGTTTCCAGACATCATCCGCTTTCGGAAGCCCAAACAAAGACGTTTCGGCACGGAGGTGAAAAAACAGCGTTTCAGGCGGTCGCACACCAGACGAGAAGCGCAGCGTCGCGCCACGTCTTTAAAATTCAAATACATTATTTTCTATGAGTGTAGGCATCTGAACACAATATAAACTCAAGCTCATGAGATCACATGTCTGCGTTCCCTAATGAAGAACCTACAGCAAACCCCAAAACAACAATTCTAATGCTGGAAAAGAAGGAGGAGCATTTCAAACGGAGTCGTTATGGAACAACAGAAAGACAAGAAAAAAAGAATGAAAGAATTGGTCAACCCAAATCCAGGAAAAGCTGATTAGATCTCCTGGTGGAAAACAGAATCCAGTCTGCTCAGGGAAGTTTCCATTTTAACAGCGCTCATGTAGTGCACTAAACCACACACTATACTAGTCCAATTGTTAGCCAAGAACCAAATAAAGGGTCTTTACTGGCATTGATGGTTCATTGAAGAGCCTTTAACATCCATAGAACTTTCCATTCCACGAAGGATTCATTAGAGTGAGAAAAAAAATGTTCAAGTTAAAAAAAGTATTTTATTTGGTAACACCGGCTTTATTCAAATTAAATAATGATTTGATAAACCCGACTACAATTTGATGTTATGTAACTAAAATGATTTTTAACACTCTGTTCAGGTAGACATATCTACCTAGTGAAAAAAAATCTTTAAACTAAAAGTTTGAAATACATTTATTTTGCCTAGTATACTACAAATACATTTACATATTTATGTGCTTAATAAAAACACCCTGCAATTGTACATTTAGTGTACTAATCTGGTATACTTAAAGCTTGCTACAACTAACAACTAATTTTGTGCTTAATGCACTTTAATTGTGAGGAAGTAGTGCTGAAGTCCAACTAAAGATATACTGAAGTATATATGATTGTGCTAAAGTGGAACCATTGCAAGTATACTTCAGGTACACTTTAAATAGCTTGCATTTAAAGACCGATAATATTCAAAGATCATACAATCCTCATCATCAGTGACATTAAAACACATTTTAGGTTTAATTTGTGCACAAGTGATACTCCAAATAAAGTTTCATTATACTTTTATATCAGTAAGTCTTAAGTAATGTCAATAACTATGTTAATGGATTTGAAGTATACTTAGTATGAAATAAATGTATTTCAAATAAATCGTTTTTTATTGGTTAACAGTCTATTATTTTCCAATTCTGTAAATTATCTGTGAATACATACAGTACCCTTGTTGTAATGACATACAATGTTTACAGTATTGAGAGCGTGTGGGTGGAAAGGGAGAGTGTTCTATTGTCTGATGATCAGGGGTGTGGTGGAACACACTCTACACACACACACACACACACACACACACACACACACACACACGCACACATACGCACACACATACGCACACACATACGCACACACACTTCACTCTCCTCGACCACCTGCTGTTCCCTCTTTGTGTATTTGTGGTCTTACAGGCTGAGGTCTGATTCAGCAAAACCTGCCAATGTCCAGTTTACCACTCATTTTCCTTCACTTAGTAT